CCCCCATGGGCACCGAGGAAGGAGAACTGTCCGGACCCCAGGCACAATTAGTGCCTGAAGAGAATCTTAGTTTATAGTGTTATTACTCAGCTATTTCCTTTACATAATCGTTTATATATAATCATATTATAGTATTAGTGCTTGAAGTATAACTTACTGCTTACATATATCTAGCTTGTATAATCATACTTAGTACTTATATCTAGCGTACTTAGTTCTATATAATCTTTCTATATAATTTTATAGGTGTTGTATTGGGAGCTGTACCGACACATTTAGTGCTGATTTATAGAATCCTTCTATATAACCACATAGTAGTTTATAGTAGGAGGAATACCTAGAGCAGTCACAGAACAGAAGCAGTACATGGGAAAACAGCCAGACCAGGACACGAACCAAAGACCCAGGCGGTGGCGTCCCTGCCTGAAAGGGCATACGCTGTATGGCAGGGTTGGAGCAAGAGCCTCTCCTCCCGATAAGGGAGTTGTAGTGCCTTGCATCCAGTTCCTGTGGAAAGTAGGCCTCAGGCCTGAGATGCTGGAAATAGCCGAGGCAGAAGAACCCCTCTGGTGTGACCAGTCACGGTGGCCGTACACCCTGTCAGCCTTTTCTGGCTTCTGTGCTAGCTCAAATCATCCTCCCATAAATATCTTAGAGAAGAGCACAAGTCTGTCAGCCCCCACTGCATTGGCTTATAGCATCTTTCTGTAAGAATCCTTTGAAGTCTCCGGCCCCCAGATAAGAAGTGTTGCACACGACACCTGTTGCACACAGCCCACCTCCTTCTCTTGGTGACCTAATGGGGGTGGAGCCCTTTTCTGTACACGACCCTCTACTACTGTGCACGGCACAGCCCCCTACTGCACAGGGCCCACCTCTCTGCCCAAGTGATATAATGGGGTGGCCCCCTCACTTGTGACTCACGTGATTATGTATGCCCTATTACTAAGCCTCACTCACAACCCTGCCCCCTGCTTGTACCTAATACAGATGCTTCTGGGCATTTGGGGCTCTCGCTGATCTCCGCTCACAGGTGGCGTGGCCCCC